AGCGACTTCGGAAAATGTTGGCGGACCATCAATTTGGCTGCAAAAGTGTTTTTTTGGCGATGGTTTTGACGATTGTGGATCGCTTAAACGGTGAAGATCTTCTCATCTGTGAATACAACCTTGTCCAAACGACCAGCAGCGACCAGGTGCAAGATCTTCTTCGCTTTAGCCATCCTCTTTTGCTTCATGGCGTCGTTCAGGAAATGAGCCCGAGCAAATTTGTAGCTGAACATTCCAAGTTTCTTATGAACAATCCTTCAAACGCTTCTTTCGCTGACTCCGAGACTTGTGGCCATCTTTCTTATTGAACGAGTGGGATTTCGACGGATTCGGCATCTGACTTTGTTTGTGTTCTCTGGAGGTGACTGTGGTTGGTCGGCCGCTTCTTGGACGGTCCTGATCGTTGCCCCGCTTCTTGAATCGTTCAATGGCTCGATAGACAGACTTTTTTTTTAGTTATCCGGTGACTCAAACAATCTCCATCGGTATCTTTCCGGGTTTGTGCAACTCAAGTATCACAGTGCGCCTCTTTTTAGCATCCATATTGAGCATCCATATTCGTCGACGGTGCGTCTCGCATTCAGCCAGCCACTCAATCGCAATAGACTTCAAAAAGCGATGGAGATAGTAAAATGCTGAAATACTAATCTAAAACCTTTAAAATTCTTCAATTTTCTCCATCAGTCCCATTTTTTTGTATTTCTGCTTTATGTTTCTTTTTATTTGAAGAGTTTATGTTCTAAATTCAGAGTTTAACAATAAATAATACTATTCTCCCAAAGTTTAACAATAAATAACAGTGAAACTGTAAGTATTATTCCAAAAGATACTGTAAAAGTCTATTTACATTAAGATAGAAAAAGAATTGTCGGTTAACAAGACAGTCAAGCTATAAATTTCTATTGAGAATAGAAAAAAGTAACTTTATAGCGATTGTTCCTTAACGATTGTGAAATGTTTGCTGAAATGTGATCGGCGAGAGAAAAAAAAATGCCATGCCAATCAAATTGGTCAAATTTTCATAAAACTCCGTCTTTTACAGCTTGTAATGCGACGCTATCGTGGGCCAGAAGTAAAAGATTGTTGCCTTTAACAAGGGAATTTCTTAAATTTACCCTCGAGTCCAAGAATGATTGAGGTAAAATTCGATAGGAAAAAAATTAGCTATCCGAATCTGGTATTCAAACTTGCTTTTGGGGCTTTAGAACGGAAAGATTCAGGGTCAAAGTTAGTGAATTTTGACAGCTTTTCTCGAATTTCTGGCACACTGTTTTCGGAAATGTTAAAAAAGTCGAAAACAATCGAGTCTTTTGTTAGCAAAGTCTTTTTATTTTACTTCTCTTTAGTCTACTGAAAAGATTAATTTCAGAAATCATCACTTTACCAGCTAAACTTTCAGAAGAACTTTTGAAATTGTTTCCCTTGATTTTTTTTCAGCGCTCATTCTTTGAAAAGCTTTTGATAAACTAGAGCTTACATTCTTGAAAAGGGAATTCAAAAAAACAAGAACATAGAACTATGTTTTCGCTTTGCAGCATTATCAATAACTGTACACTCTTTGTGTCAGTCTCTGCTGATTCCTTTCAAAAACGACAGATTACGTCTTTAAAAAGAGAATTTTTGAAAAATAGAAAAAGAAAGATGGAACTTTGCATTTCCACACAAAATTTATGAAACTCGAAGCTTTTTGTTTTTTAATTTTTCTTCAATTGGCGCTAACAGACGAGCCGGAAGATGGATTAGTGATTGAGCAATCACTCTTCCATTTTTCTTTCTTTCTGATGAAGTTAATCGTAATATCGTAAGATTTGTGAAAAAGCACTGACCAGTGCTGACACTGACGCAAAGAACTTTACCGATTACCAAAAACAAGCTAAGGGGTATCAAGGAATTGTTTGGCGATGGCACCATCAAAGTGGTAATTTTATCAATCTTAGTTTAATACCGAGCGACATTTGTCCAGCATTTTGATTTAGTCGGACTTTGAATCGGCCTGCATCAAATCGTTTGCGACGCTGTTCCTTTATGATCACTTCCACACAAAATTTATGAAACTCGAAGCTTTTTGTTTTTAAATTTTTCTTCAATTGGCGCTAACAGACGAGCCGGAAGATGGATGAGTGATTGAGCAATCACTCTTCCATTTTTCTTTCTTTCTGATGAAGTTAATCGGGATCTCATAAGATTTATGACAAGCACTGGTCATCTTGCGAATCTCTTCACCTAAACTCTTGTACATTTAAACTTTTCAAAGAAAAACGTTCTCTAATGGAAGAAATTGTGTTGGGACAATAATTGGGAGAGTTTCGTGAATTATGTGAAATTCTTTTGTGAGGCGGAATCGTTTTAATGAAAAACATTTCATTCGTGAGGATCAAGTGAAGCGAGGGGTTTTGAGAAACGAGCAACTGAGCTATTCTGTCAAGCCCATATTCTTTTTAAGAAGAAAGTATTAAGTGAGCATTGTAGAAAGCTCGTCTTTTGTCGCTTTTCGTTTTGAAGTTTCTTTTGGTCAGATGTTGTGTGTTTCTAAAATCTTGAATCAAGTTGAAAGATTTCATAAAATATCCGGTTTCTCCTTTTAATCGTTGCTGATTCTCTTATTTTGATGCTAAAATAATGCTTCTTGTTGAGAATTTTTACTTTTTTAAAGTTCAAACTGTGATTTTAAGTTGCAATGTTTATATTTTAGAGATGTTTTTTCACGTTTCATTTGTATCATTTTGGCTTTTATGGGTTGAAAGTTTCGATCCGAAAAAACTGCAATTGGATGAAAGCAGCCCATCTTACGCCATTCACGGCTTACGGCTCAGGGAACTTCGAGTTGATTATTTTATGGAAAATATTTGAAAAGCTTTTAAATTTTTATTAATTGTTTAAAGGAGGAGGGGTATTAATCGCGGCCGGGTGACGAACGATACAATTTTTTTTTACGGCAACCACCTGTTTTTTTATTTCAATATCGCTGATTTTATTATAAAAAGAATAAAAATCACGCGGCTAGAGCGATTTGATGGGTTTCAAAATTTTTGGAGACACTGCAAGGCTTGAAGAAAAACAAGATCGTCACTCATCAGACACCTCAGCTAAAAGGCACCTATTTGAGAAAACTAAAACCACAAGCGACCACAAATGGAAAAAAGATCTAATTGTGTCAATCGAAGCGCTGAAGACGTCCTACGGTGGAGGAGATCCAGTCACTTCTGGTGAAGATGCGCTGGAAATTGATAAGATAGGAAGCCGATTTGAGGAACTGCTGTACTTGAGCGAAGATGAAAGTGAGCAAGAGGAAGAATTATAGATTAACAATTTATTTTTATTGTTTTTTGGGCTTTTTATTTTGTTTTTAAATTTATCTGCAATTAAAACTCAATCGATCTAGACTGTGCTGAGGTGTCTGATGAGTGACGATGAGGATGAGGATCTCCTTCACCGTAGGACGTCTTCAGCGCTTTGATTGACACAATTAGATCTTTTTTCCATTTGTGGTCGATTGTGGTTTTAGTTTTCTCAAATAGGTGCCTTTTAGCTGAGGTGTCTGATGAGTGACGATCTTGTTTTTCTTCAAGCCTTGCAGTGTCTCCAAAAATTTGTAAACCCATCAAATCACTCTAGCCGGGTGATTTTTATTCTTTTTATAATAAAATCAGCGATATTAAAATAAAAAAAACAAAAAAAAAATGCCGTAAAAAAATTTTTATCGTCACCCGGCCGCGATTAATACCTCCTCCCCTCCTTTAAAAAAAAGTAAATTTTAGCAAACCAAGCCACTTGGTGTATTGTAAAATTTTACGGTAAAACGGCTTCTAGGAAATTTCAATTTATGGAGCGATTGGTCACGATTTTCTCATCGATTTCACAATTGTAGAGTGCAGTGCTGAAGAGAAAAATAGTACGGTGAGTTTCGTAACTTTATGAAATGTATTCAAAGAATGTATTCAAATTTGAAAAGTGTTAATATTTCAAAGATGTATTTCAAAGTATTCATATAAATATTAAGCTATTATTGAATATTAAGCTATTATTAAATATTAAGCTATTATTAAATATTAAGGCCAAATAATTTCATATTTGAAACGTTTCCAGTTGTTAAATGTCTTAAACTTTTGAAAGCAATGAAAAAAAAACATACGGTAATTATTCCAATAGAAGCAACAATACAGATCCTTTCGAGATCTTTCAAAATCTTGACTTGAGATCCCCCTTGTGAGGGTTCTATGGATAGCTCCAGACTTCAAACTAACTAATGTCTATTAGAAACACACTCTCCAATAGAAGCACACTTTAATAGTCTAATAGAAGCAACAATACAGATCCTTCGAGATCTTTCAAAATCTTGACTTGAGACCCCCTTGTGAGGGTTCTATGGATAACTATAGACTTAAAACTAACTAATGTCTATTAGAAACACACTCTCCAATAGAAGCACACTCTAATAGTCTAATAGAAGCAACAATACAGATCCTTCGAGATCTTTCAAAATCTTGACTTGAGACCCCCCTTGTGAGGGTTCTATGGATAGCTCTAGACTTAAAACTAACTAATATTGCGCTGGTAGTAAAATTTCAAACTTGGTTTTCGAAGAATTTCAAAAAAATTCATAAGGGATTTTTGGGACCACATGGATTTTTCCGCGAAATTTTTGCGAGCTCCGGATGAAAAAATGATTTGACTTTTAAACGTGTTTTTAGTACGTTTTAGACCAAGGGCTAACGTTTAAAATAGTTTTTAGAAAATTTTATTTTCTTGATCGATCTGATCCCCCTTTACCTACTTTTTTGGCCGCCCAATTTTGGGAGGTTGAAAAATAGAAGCACATTTGCTTCTATTAGAATCAATGTGATAGGTTAGCTCTTTTCAGATCATCGAATCCTCCCGCCACGAGTTTGCCCAATTCTGCCGTGACAAGTTACCATTTCTTCTCAATGGATCCACGCCAATCAATGAGATTTGTCACGTGCCAATGTTTTCGTTTCAAAAGGTTTCTTGCCCGAAGTCTAATGTTCAGGCCAATTGGGATTTTCGGAAACAAAGATGATGGGGTTTATCCTCCGCATCTCACCTACAGTTGCTCTATAGTACTCGAAAAACAATCGATGGTCGTTGTGAGCCCGTCACCGAATGCCAAAACGTTGGAGTTCGCGATCTCGTTTCGTGTACGCCAATGGGTCGATGGTGGGTTCCTTTCATCGCTTTCAATTATTTCAAATCTCTTTGCATAGTTAGTTTTTTTACTAAATAACCACCGAAGTTCATGGTTTTTAATATGTATTAAATCAAATCGAATCTGATATGAAATTGAACGAATCTGATAACGAGATTAGAGTATTCAGTCTAGATTAGCTGGATTACGGTATTTAGTCTGGAATGGGTATTCAGTCTAGATTAGCTGGATTACAGTATTTAGTCTGGAATGGGTATTCAGTCTAGATTAGCTAATAGCTTAATATCAAATCAAATCGAGACTGATATCAAATCAAATTGAATCTGATATGAAATTGAACGAATCTGATATAAAATCGAACGAATCTGATATCAAATCGAATCGAATCTAATATCAAATCAAATCGAATCTAATATCAAATCAAACGAACCTTATACCAATTCAAATCGAATCTGACATCATCTATGTACTAAAGACTTTTTGTTTTAAGTTTCTCATCTAACAAGTTACGTAAAAGAAGTTTCTGTGTGAAAATCCTTGCATTTGTAAAACTGAAAATGCCAAAAATGAATAGGTTAAAGAAAACGAGACCTCTTTTTAGAGAATAAAAGAGTTCTTGTCGTGCCATTTTACGAGCCAAACGATGACTTCACGCCATTGTGGTTGATCCCAGAAAACACGATAGCGACAATTGTCAACAATCCTGCAATTGACACAAGGTTAGTGTGTTGTTTCCGTACATCTGTTTGCTTTTAGCATCGGTTTTCGTAAAAGGCTATGGTTTTCTGCGTACATCTCTGCCATATGTGATAAATGTTTTTATGAGGTCAGAAAAAAAAAAACACAATTTTCATTAAAAGAGCTTCCAATTGGGCCTTTAAGTGAGTTCAAGATTGAGAACAGAAAAAAGAAATCTGAATCATTTTGTGAGCTATTCAACCGGCTTACTGGCTTGGAACTTGCTACTGCATAAAGTGCAACTGGATATGCACAAAGATGTACCAAATTTATCTACGCTAGATCAGGAGTAGATCAAAATCAGAAGTGCTTGTGTGGTAAATCGTTTCTTTTTTGGGTGGACTTCAGCTGCTCGTTAAACACATTTTTCTCGGCGTACTTTGGTGGAGCACCGGCTTTGAATGAGATGGCATGGACATGGCATTTTCTTGATCAGCGGTTCCCATTGAGCTCAATCGTAATTTTGTCGATTTAGGTCTGACAGCCCACCATTTATAGCAAGTACTTCTGTGGCAAGCATTGTGCCAAAAGAACACGTTTGCACATTTGGACTTTTGGTGCGACAAGAGGACGTACCATGTGAGAATCCTAAAACCCGAGCTTTTCCTTACTTTTCCCACAGTTTTCGACGCCTCTATTCATACAGTTTTTTTTCTAAATTTCAGTTTTTACATTCAACCCCACAGTACCAGTGGCGCTTAGTTCTATCAACTACCCGTGGGTGTTTGATGATCCAAATGAATGGAATGGGGACAATAAATGGAATTTGGAGACTAAACTTCCACACGTCAGTAAATCGTTGACCAATAAAAGGCAATCGTTGAAAAGTCAGCTTCGGGTTTTGCCCAGAATGTTCAACAGATTCAGTGCACTCTTCAGTCGGTTAGACAGGATTTATAACACTGGTTCAGAAGTGCTCCTAGCCAGAACAAACTTCCAATTCGCGTTTGATTAGTTTGATTTGATTGATTGATTTGATTTGTTTGCTTGATTCATTCTGCTTTTCATCATTCTATTGCTGGAACCTATTTGCCCAGCTGACGCAGTAGCTGATCGTTGGCTGATAGGCAAATTAATGGCGCAATTTAACGGCGCAATTTAATGGCGCAATTTAACGGCGCAATTTAACCGTGAATCCCAAAATATTCTGAACTTTTGTGCCGTTTTCTTGTGACAGAACAGCGAATACAAGAAAATAATGTTTAATTGAGCATCAAATAGCAGAAATTGAAATCTAATTTGGGCACTATGTAAGAACTAACGATATGCTAACGAATAACGAAAGAACTAGCGATAAAGGACGACCACTTGGTCCACTACAATGGGGTGAACTGACCGGTGTATCCTGAAATCACTTTTGGTCAGATATTTAACGTGAACGCTACAAAGCGGACGAAAAACAACGGATAGACAGGGTTTAGAAGTGTTATAAATCTATGGAAAATAAGAACTTGATCATTTCTATGATATACTTTGCTCATTTCCTGCTAAAATCTCCTTTTTCAGACTGGCACTGTCGCTGAGCTGATAGTTGTCGAAGGGGGCAATATAACCGTATGGGTTTTCAACTGCCGTTCCAGCAACAGAAATGTTCCATCGTTCATAATCAGGTTTTTACCGAATCGAAAAAAAACTTTTGTCAAGCAAAAAAAGTCCGTTTTCAGTATTTCTGAGAAGACAACCACCTGGAACTCGACATGTTTTTCGGTGAGTTAACAAATTAAATCTCATTTTATGGATCAGTTTCATGAAACTTGTTTTAAAGGACGATTTGAATCAAGTTTCATCTTAGTTTTCGCAACCGTCTCTTACACGATTTTCGAAAATTTTGTTTATTAGTATAAATCAACTTTTGCTACCCGCATTCCGTTCAGATCCTCCAGCTTAGCTCCAGTCAATTAATCGATCTAATTCTTTTTTTATTATCAAATTGAATATTTCTCCTTCAATGCGTTCTCTGGATTTGATCAGAAAAGCTTCTGAACTTTTGCTAGAGCGCTGCAAAGTTTCGACACGCGTTTCCTGGGGTGGAATCGCGATTTTCTGGTTTTTAGAACTAGTTTTAATGGTCGCGTCCGTTTCCTTCCTATTTGCGTTCCTATTTTGCAATTATTCGCGTCGCATTTTTCGTCTTTTTCTCCCTTCCCGAAATTATTTTTTTCTGTCGGGGGTCTCTTTTGTTTTCTTTCTTGGGGGACTTTGTTGTTTCTATTGTTGCATTTTGGTTTTGTACTAATAAACAGTAAAATTATAAATTCAACTTACTTTATGCTACCCCTCAGGTTTTAAATCCTGTTTAGATAACTGGTTTAACATTGTAGAGAGAGCTTACTAACATTTGTGTCGCCACCGACAAGGATTAATCTTATGTTGGATACTACGTGTTCTTGTTACGTTGTAAGCGCTTTGGGGAAACCCTTTTAACCTTTTGTGCTATTCGGTCATTCTTAAGCAGAATCATCCTCGATGATAAGGTTAAAGCGGGTCGCACCCCAAACTCAATGGCTCAAAATCAAAAACAATCAGCTTCATTTACTCCTTTTTACTTATTATTTTCAAAATCTAGCTCATTTTTACTAGAAAAGAATGAATTTCGATTGGGGATTAAAGTTCGTGATAATGTGAATTTGAACCGAGTGCGGGTAATTGTGAGCCACTTTTATCCAATTTCCTTCTTTTCAATGAGTGAATGTTTAAACAAAAAGTTACTATGATACAATTAAAATGGGTAAATGTTTACTTTGAACAAAGAGTTCAAAGCTAAAATAGAGTTCATAAGAAAAAAAAGCGGGTAATTGTGGGCCACCTTTTAGGCGAAATTTCAGAAAATACCAGTCAAGGGGCAGAAAACGAAGGTGAAATTTGACTTGAATCATCTTTATGATAACGTTTTTCGTTTTTCTCAAGATACTTTGGAGCCCGGAGAAATCTCATGGAAATCGTTTTGGTTTTTGGATAAAAATAAGCGCTTCACTGCCGAAAGAGCTCGACGATGACTTCTGTTATTTGCGATATGAGTTGAGTGATGAGGAGCCAATACTTGTTTTTCATGGAGACTCGATTTACAATTACATATCATCCTGTGAGTGTGACATCAACTTTATTTAGCTAATTTTGTTTATTGGGTTGTCCAGTTATGAATGCGAGTTTTTTACTATTTTGTAAATTTCTCAAGATATCGAACAGATGTATACGAGTGTTATATATCATTCGAAAGCTGAAGATCTCCTCTACATTTTGGAATAAAAAAGTTTTTGAATTCATTCAACCTTTTGGGAAATTGACTGCACAAAGGGAGAGGTCGTTTTCAAAAAAACCCATTTTAGCTTAGCTATTCCTCAAGTTTTATGGCGTAAAATAGCCGTCCAGAAAAGTAAAGATGCTCTGAAATTGTTATATTTTTTTAAAAGTTGTATTGATATATCTATTAGCCAAACATCAAACGGTTAACTCAATTTGAGCGGAGCCAAAACTTGATCCAAAGGCACCCTTCCATTTTTTGGCCACCTCTTCTTCTGTGCAGTCAATTTGCCCAAAAGCTGGGCAAATTCAAAAACTTTTTTATCAGAATGTAGAGGAAATCTTCAGCTTTCGAATAATACTCATATATATCTTTTTCTTGATTTCGGTATCTTGAGAAATTTACAAAATAGTAAAAACGCGCATTCATAACTGGACAACCCAATAGCTTTCCTATTAAAATATCGAAGACTTCGAATTATAGAATTATTGGAAAAGAATTATAGAATCAGACGAAAAACAAAAAGTTACTGAGTTAATTGGAAAGAAAGATACCTTTCTTCAAATAATCGCCAAATACTTTGAAAATATGCGTCAAGTTTTTGAGTTTTCTCAGCAATGATTAAAGCAAATCGATTTTTTTTTGTTTCTATAGATGTGTCTATGGAATGTGCACATTCTGACAAAGTTTCAGAACGTTTTAGTTCAAAAAAATCCCGCAATTTGGTGAAACTTTTTGTCTCTCAGGTGATTGGACGGGGTTTCATCAGTTTCGTGTGGCGATTATTCGAATCAAGTAAACTAGGTTGATAAAAATTGAACTGGGTAAGATAGTATTAGAAAGATGAGATAGATAGACCGATTATATCAGCTGAAAAATATCAAAAAGCTGTTGTAATGTCTTTACCAAAAATTTACTGCTATTCTGCTTGGGAAAATTTCAATTTCAAGTTTTGTTTTGGGGAAAAAAAAGAACTATTAGAAGAAATACGGTATCAAATAAATCAAATAAATAAAAAAACTTCAGACTTAAACTGTCAACTTTCAGCAATAAATGATTTTTATGGATACCTTTGTATCGATAGCGATTGTGATGAGGGGAATGATTGCGAAATTGTCGTTGAGATTGTAATTCATTGTCCAATTGACGAAGTGAGTTGAGTTTTCCGGCTTTTTTAACTCAAAAAAAATTATAGATAGGAAATTGTACTGAGGTCTCACCATTGCAGATTAACGGCGAATATTCGAAACTCAACTGCACGAACACGTAAGTCGACGAGTTTGGAGGCAATTCTAAGAGTTTTCTTTTTCAAACTTTCAGCGGGCTTGCTCTAGGGAGAGAAAATGTGCAAATTTTATGTGTTACTTACAAAAAGGATTTTCTTTTTCTTTTTGTTGAACGTCGCAGCTACTTTGATCAAAGTATCGTTTCGATAAGGGGGCGTCAATGGGGCGACGGTGAGTTCAGATCGTTATTCATCAAAAAATGATCGAAAATTTGGGTTTATCCCAACCAGGGCTAAGCGGAGGGGCTAAATCCGGAAAGCCTGGACTTTTTCCGGATAATATCCGGATAATAACCGGATTTGGAATCCGTTTAAGAAAAATTTTTGATTTTTAGATTTTTTCATGTGGTACATGGATTTTTAATGGAAGAAAAATGTCTACAGAATTTTTGCACCAAAACATTGTTTTTAACGGCAAAAAAAATTCACTTTTAACAAGGAAATACAGAAGAAAGCAAATAGATTAAAATTCAACAGAATCTCAATTTAATTTTTCACAAACTGAAACTTTGTAAAACTATATTTGTTCGGAATTCTCCAATTCTCCTGATGATTGCTTTTCTCGTGTTTCTCGTGTTACTTTTTATCCCTCACTTCCGTTAGCATTTTCAATCTTAAAAATGTCTACAGAATTTTTCACCAAAACATTGTTTTTAACAGCAAAAGAAATTCAAAAGAACAAGTGTTATATATCATTCGAAAGCTGAAGATCTCCTCTACATTTTGGAATCAAAAAGTTTTGGAATTCATTTAACTTTTTGGGAAATTGACTGCACAAAGGGAGAGGTCGTTTTCAAAAAAAAACCCATTTCAGTTTAGCTATTCCTCAAGTTTTATGGTGTAAAATAACCGCCCAGAAAAGAAAAGAAAAGTAAAGATGCTCTGAAATTGTTATATTTAAAAACAAGTTGTATTGATATATCTATTGGCCAACCATCAAACGGTTAACTCAATTTGAGCGGAGCCAAAACTTGATCCAATGGCACCCTTCCATTTTTTGGCCACCTCTTCTTCTGTGCAGTCAATTTGCCCAAAAGCTCGGCAAATTCAAGAACTTTTTATATCAAAATGTAGAGGAGATCTTCAGCTTTCGAATAATACTCATATATATCTTTTTCTTGATTTCGGTACCTTGAGAAATTTACAAAATAGTAAAAAACGCGCATTCATAACTGGACAACCCAATAGATATCAAGGGACCAAAAATTGACATCGTTAAATTGAGAGAATGATTAATTCGAACATCTTTATAAGGTAAATAGATATCAAGGGACGAAAAATTGACATCGTTGAATCGAACGTCTTTACAAGGTAAATAGTTATCAAGGGACCAAAAATCGGCAACGTTAAAGCGAGAGAATCGTTAAATCGAGATTTGACTGTAATTTAATTTAATAAGAGTTGAAAATTGAATTAGGTGATAAAGCAAAGGCATTTGAATCTCAGATATCTGAAAAGTTTTCAAAGTGGATTAGCGCCTCTTCGACAAGGCTCTCTGCAAGAAATTGTTTAGCTGAAATCGACTACATTCTACAACCGCTTTCGCCAGTTGTTCCGAGTGCAATTCGTGTCCCGGCATCACCAAAGGATAAATGGATAATCATTTTATTTGCCGATGCTCATCCTGGCAATACACTCAGTTACACTCATGGAGGGTCAAACTTGTTAAAAGAATTCCGATGGGTGAGGTTTTTGGATTTGAAATCAGTTCCGTTTACTTCAAAAAAAGAATTTTTAAAACCAATCCACAGTACAGTACAACAATGCCTATTTACCGACATCAATTTGTTTCAGAGAGAAAACTTACCGTTACAGGGTCGCCACACAACAAATTGTGGTTATGTTTTGATTGCCGGACCGCCAACTCCGAGTCTTCACACAGTGGATGATAGAACGCTGATGAGCTTCAAGTGAGATTTGATTGTTGAAGAAAAAGAGTAGCTGGGTAATATTTTGCTTTCTATTTCAGTGACGACGAACCATTTGTAGAGCAGTCTCTTCAATCACACCTTTATAGCGTCATCGTGCCGGCGAATTGTTCACCTAGTGTGGGGATTGATGTCGGTAAGTAGTACTGAAAAAATGGCTTTTTCCTGAATCGTGGTCTTCTGCTCCTTTGTCAAAAAAAAAGTCCGTTTCGTAGTCTTTTGCAATTTTTTTTGTGCAAGTTATATTTGATCAGCATTTAAAGAACAATCGTAAGAACAGCAATCCCAGTAAAACGCAAGGCTTGACTCGCAAATGTTTGTGAAGCTGGCCTTTACATACAGCCAAGACAGACATCCTTGCCAACTTGACGATATCCACGAGGAATTCTGTGCGATGTCGTTCAAAGTCAACCTCCGGAAGTGGCCGCGGCACAAACGAGAGGCTTTCTTTTGGCCTAATACTTAATAAAAACGTTAAAACAATTTCAAAAGACTTTTTAAGTAAAAAAAATTGCAAAAGGCCACGAAACTTTTAAAAAACCACGGAAAGAGTCGAAAAATTTAATGCAGCGATAGTTTTAACTTTCGAGAAATCTTTTAGTTTTCCATTAATTCCTTTTTTCTTTGTTTAAAACGAAATTTGTGCGAAACAAGCCGAGACACTAGCTTTTAAAAGAAACGAGTTTCACTAAAAGTATTCTAGAATTGACATTATTAGAATTTCTTCTTTATTGCTGTTTTTGATAAAGCTTCTGATAATTCTGATTCTTCATAAAGCGTTTTTTTTATCAAAAAGATCAAAAAACTGACCTTTTTGACAAAAAACCTCGAAACTTTTGAAAAACCGCGATTTAGGAAAGAGCCGAAAAATTTAATACAACAATAGCTTAGCAAAAAGAGCTTACAATAGAAATCTTTTAGTTTTCCATTAATTTCATGTTTGTTTTTACTTTGTTTAGCACGCTTTGACATAACAGACGACTTTCTTGAGTGTGCCCCAAGTAGACTCGACTTTTGCGAGGGAATAAAGGTGATCGATTCGATTGGTTACAAAAATCCCTTACAACTCACCCAGCCGACAATGAAAACCGAGTGTGTGATGCGATTTACATTGGAATGTGGTGAGTGGCACTTAAAAAAGGTTCACAATCGGCAATGGCCTGACTTGAACATGTGCCTAGACGCAAATAATTAGTTAATCCCATTCTAAAAGGCACTTAATTCATAAAATCTCGAGTTTTCAATGAATCAGTTTGTTTTTGGGTGTCGTTCGATGAGGAACAACAAGGCTAAGGGAATGGCACAAAAATTTCGCTGACTTTCGCTGACTTTCGAAATTTCGCTCGAAAAACTGACGATTTGAGTACGGTAGTTTTATGAATTAGGCGTTTTTAGAATGAGCATGTGTTGCGATGATTTTGAGACATTTTTCAGATCGAGATGATTTGGAATTGGATATCTCTTTTGAAGTGTTATCCCTCAGTGACGCAGGGTACGCCGAGTTTACATTTCTCGCGCTTTCCTCTGACGATCACCTCAAAGACGAAATGTTTGAATAAAAAAAAACATTTTCTATTTAAAGGAATGATATTTTAGCATACAGATCAATTGGGACGAGGATGTCCCACAGAACTACAGCCGGGTCGGATATAGAGCTTTACAGGTAGGCTAAACAATCGTAAAAACAAATAGAGATGCACACTAAAGATTCAAAAGCTTTCAAAAGCCTCAAAAGCTAAACATTTTGAAACTTTCTTGTGAAAAAAGTAATTTATATGCTGCAATTACGTTGTTTTTCAAGCAAAAATTCTTAAGTTGCCAGATTTGTGTTTTTTGCGTGAAATTAGAATCTTGCTAAGCAAAACAGTCAAAAAAAAGGATCAAATGCAATAAAGACTTTGAGATTTTTTGGCCTGAAATTTCGCCGCATCAAACAAGAGTGCCAATGCACGGGAATCTATTTCGGATAAATTTCACTTCGATGAGCCCCAAACCCAAGCATACAACGCAAATCTCGCCAACTATCGCCAACTATCACTCGGTGAAAACTACAATCAATTTTTTTTTGCTTCTTTTTGTTCTTGTGCTTTAATGATGTTATATCAGTCAGTAAGTCTCTTTTTTAAAGTCTTTTTATGAATGATTAAGAAAATCAAGCTAATTATGACAAATACTGTGTATGCTTTGCCCATAAATTACTTGAAATTGTTTTTAAAAATGATCAAAGCTGTTTTTAGTTTTCGCACTAAAAACTAAACAAGAACATAGAACTATGTTGTCACTTTGCATTTGCATTTGCAGCATTATCAATAACTGTACACTAATTGTGTCAGTCTCTGCTGATTCCTTTCAAAAACGACAGATTACGTCTTTAAAAAGAGAATTTTTGAAAAATAGAACTTTGTGATCACTTCCACACGAAATTCATGAAACTCGAAGCTTTTTGTTTTTTAATTTTTCTTCAATTGGCGCTAACAGACGAGCCGGAAGATGGATGAGTGATTGAGCAATCACTCTTCCATTTTTCTTTCTTTCTGATGAAGTTAATCGGGATATCATAAGATTTATGACAAGCACTGGTCATCTTGCGAATCTCTTCACTTCACAGATATCAGACGGTGAATCTCTTCACTTCACAGTATTTCTCGAAATTCCCGCCCAAATCTGATCACCAAATTAACTCTAATTACGATTCAATGTTTAATTTATAAGGGTTTTAGATGAATCCTGGTCAATACGGGTTATCCCGTTGGATTGATACTTTTGCTTTGAAAGATGCATGCGACAGGGCATTTGATGATGTGAAAGTTCGCATTTGAATAAAAAATAACTATTGATTAAATTTTTTAAGTAAATTAAAGACCACATTGTTGAAAATTTTCTGAAATTGATTGAAGAGTGGGTCAAAAAGTCAACAAAAGGACAAATAAAGCAATTTCTGCTTTCTGCTTTCTTTCGTCTATACTTCAAAATTTTCCGCATTATAAAATGACCACATTGGCGCACGAACAACGGAATTCCGGTCTCCAGAGAAACTTGATGATTTCTATTTAA